AAATATGATCATTGTGATACTCTCCATTCGTACTTTTCAAATAACTCACCTTACGTTATATATCGTTATAAATACATGGTTATGTTTTCCGTAGTATTGAAAGCTGTTTCCATCAGGGGAAGTGTGGCGGTCAAATACTAAGGGCTTGTGTGTGAAGGAAGGACAGTTGGCCCACACCGAGTGCTGGGGTCACAACGCCGGCAACTGGACGTATACCGATGTTTTTCATTTCGTCATGTTTACAGTGTATGTATATATTAATGTCAATGTGTCGACCTGTGGTTAGATGAAGACAGTACTGCTATCGAGGTGGTAGAAATATCCACATAGTCCCCAAAGGTACACGAGACACAGTTTACCTGACCCGGTCAGTGCGAGATAAAAATTCAAAGATTAAAGTTTTTTAAGTCCACAATGTCTTGTCTGTTTCATATGTTCACTGATCTAGCGAGGACCTCCGCAACGAAACATGATTAAATGTAAAGGTCAGACTAGCTCTCTTGCTTGACGGGGGTTCATATTCTAGCAATTATGGAGACCTATGCTCATGGCGTCCGTCACTACATTGTGTAGGCCGACTTAATTGTTTACAGTTGAAATATTGATGAGTGGACATTTGAAAAGTCTAGAAACAGATGAGGTGATATATTTACATGTCACCGCGATACTCGCTAATATGCTACAGTAACACTTGTAACAACAACAATCATGCTACCCTTGTTACTGGCCGATGCTCCGTAAACAGGATGGTGTCAATACATTCTTGTATGGATTACTATTTGAGAAGGGGAGCCTAGTGGTTACAGCGTTCGCTGGTCACGCCGATCTCCCGGGTTCGATACCCCACATGGTTACAATGTGTGAAGCCCATTTCTGGTCTTCCTTGCCGTGATATTGCTGGAATATTGCTAAAGGTGGCGAAAAACTAACCTCACACACTCAATACTATTTTAGAAGATAAACTTCAGAAATACAACAGTTCCAATAAAAAAACTTAATAGGTGATAGACAATATCTATATTAAGTCTCATTCGTCTCTTTTAGGAGCAGAGCCTTGAACTGAGAAGCACAGACACATGTGCTATATTTGTGCCTCACGCTATATTTAACTTTCAAAGTTTTGGGACTTACGTATCCTATCAGGTCGACAATAATTTTACGGAATTGCACAAGTTACTTTTTTATACTTTTGGCATCATTGTCCATTCGCAGGCATTGGACCAGAGTGTTTGCCTTGTCATGAACACCTGGTGTCTTCATTGACTGACAATGTTTCACGGCCATTTGAATCTGTGTTGGCAGATAATCCAGACCGATTATTTTCATTTCAAGGCTGTTTGGTTTTTTAATTTCGATGCAGCTTTTGTAGCTTGTATTATTGTTCCACCAGATACACCCACATCAATACGCTTCCTCCACCAAATCTGTCGACCTCAAGTATGCGCTCGGTGTCAAATCGTTCATAGCGATGCCCGTACACACTGATATCATATCAACTCATGATGCTCCTGTTATATAGTTCTAACCACTGAGATACCATTCCGTTACCGGGTTAGAATGGTTCTTCATTACCCCATAAGACACAACTAACGGCATTGAATGACACATGTTATGGTGTCAAAATTGCGTAGATCGATAGTCGTGATGTAAATCACGGGATTGTCTTATCCAAACACGTTAATTTACAGACCACCGCCACATTGGTGGAATATTGTTGAGTGTATCGTTAATCAACAAACAAATTAAACGAACCCAGAAATAAACTGTAGAGGTATGGTACCAGTCAAAATAGGGAACTGCACAGGACATTATTTGTTGTCATCGGTTGTCAAATTGTAAAATGTTCCTTCAGCCTTTATTTGGGGCTTTGAGTGTCATAGCGACCAAGAGTCGTTTGACGCTAATTGAAATCTTGGCAAAAAGAGCAAAATGTAACCTTGTCATGCATAAACACCAAAGGCACAGCGCCGTCACATAACTACATATTGCTGAGTGCTGCAAGCGGTGGGGTAGCCTAGTGGTTAAGTCATTCGCTCGTCACGCTGACGAGGCGGGTTCGTTTTCCCGCATGGGTACACTGTGTTAAGCTCATTTCTGGTGTCCCCCGCCGTAATATTGCTGGAATATTGCTAAAACCGGCGAAAAGCTAAACTCCCCCACTCACTCACTGAGTGCAGCATTTAACAAAACTCAACCAACAATGATGTCCATAATCCACCAACGTAAACTATGTCTCCGTCTATTTAGTAAAAACTGGGAATTAAATATTTCAATTCACGCCTTATCCCCCAAATCAACTGGTCTTGAAGAGAGAGTTCTCCTGCCGTCCTAGTACATGGGGGCTTGTGGTTAAAGCGTCCGCTAGTCATGCCGAAGACCCGGGTTCGAATCCCCACATGGGTACAATGTGTGAAACCCATTTCTGGTGTATATATCGCTAAAAGCAGCGTAAAACCATACTCACTCACTCATTGCTAGTACATGGGTAAATGACAAACCGATTGTAAGGAATCGAAAGCGTATCGTCGGCGCAACGAGGTAACGCTTGGCTACCTTGCTAGGCTATAGTCCACAATTCACATGGCATAAGCTACACATATACACCCTTAAAAAAACAAAAACAAAAAAGAAGAACCCATGAAGGTCCGGGTTAGAGTGAACCTTCTATAACCCATGCTTGTCGTAAGAGGCGACTAACGGGATCGGGTGGTCAGACTCGCTGGCTTGGTTGACACATGTCATCGGTTCCCAATTCCGCAGATCGATGCTCATGCTGTTGATCACTAGATTGTCTGGTCCAGACTCGATTATTTACAGACCGCCGCCATACAGCTGGAATATTGCTGAGTGCGACGTAAAACTAAACTCACTCACTCAAAAAAAAAAGAAACGCATAGGTGATATTGAGCTCTTGTTCCAGGTGAATTCGAGGAAATTATTATATGTTCTGTAGGGAAACACGCCTACTTGAAATGAAAATATACACATGATGCAGTTTTTCAAAATGCATGGACCATATAATGTGAATGTATGTAGTTCAAGCATATGTTGCATTGTCAAAAGCAATATAAAACAGCTTACGGCAGTACCTATCCAATGTATTATATTAATCATCCTCTTCCATTGTTGTGATGTCAGAATATACCAGATGTCACAGTAGATGTGCTTGGGGCTGCTGATTAATGACAACGTCGTCCCGGTGAATGTTTCAAAGCTCACATAATAAAGTGAATGCATCCTAGAAACCAAACACGACATATCATTTGAATCGGTATGTGAGTGTGATGATTAATTAATGTCCCAGCTAAACTAAGGCGATCTGTAAACAACCGAATCTGGACCAGACAACCCAGTGAGTTATATTGACAATCCAGTGATTTATATATGGGAGCAACGACCTCTTGCGTTGGGTTTACGATAACAAGTCCCAAATCCAAGTCACCGAACCTGAATCTATCTCTGGCAACCAAGAAAGCCAGGGTAGCACAGAGATTATGACATCATTACTGAACCTTTCGTCATCATATCTTAAACTATGTTCCCATCTGGAAAGGAAACACATTAGGATGCACATTGTATCGTACCCTGCTCGTAAGAAGTGTATACGCAGATTGTGGAAAATGTGTAATTCCATTTATTGCTCCTCTGTACGCGATAGTACGGCAGTGTGTTCCTCCTCATAAACTGCCACGCCCATTTCCCGGTCACTTGTTGTACTTGGTCTCTTACAGATCGGTATGCCCAGAGACAGAAGACTTCCTATCACGATAGCGCTACCTGAAACAATTTAACACATCAGCTACATACTGCTATGAACATGTACATTTTAATATATTGGGCCACAAATTACCATCGTTGGGGCAAGATGTGCTTTGATCTTTCTGCAAACACCTCGTTTTGGATTCACAGCTTCATATAAGTTTGTGTCAAAATGGACGTCGAATTTAAACATAAATGATTGAAAGTTCATGTGACAAACATGGCTTGATAAAGACCATTTCTAACCCGGATCTTCAGAGGTGTCAGTCATATTGGCTTGAATACATTGAAGGAGCATTCGTGTTTATTACACAGAATTAATAATTATAATTTTCCTTGACGCCCACTTCACATTTTGTGTCATATCGTGTAGGGACCTCACCTCTGTGTGAGAACCACAAGCGTGGAGAAGTCAAGTCAAGTCAAGTTGTTTATTTGTATGAAGGCCATTGGCCCATATACACATAGTACGTTTACGTCGAGCATTAATTACATACAATGTACAATATACAAGGATGTTTTATATATGTTACAGATTTCAAACATTTTGTTCTCTTAAGATTATGCTTTGACAAACATCGACATACATTATTTAATACATCACAACACTTTGAATTCATTAGCTGTCTAAATTTGTGAATATTTACATTGTGGTGGTACATATATGGTAGATAACGCTGTCTGAAATTCCTATAGTGTTTACATACAAGGATAAAATGATACTCATCTTCAATTCCATTTTTACACAATTGACATTATCACTGACTAAGTCCTATCATTATATTTCGTTGTTTTTTACTTGTTAATAGAGAGAGGTACTTTTCTAGTTCTAGTAGGCTTTTATATTGTCTATATACACTATATCGAGAACTTTCTTGTATAGTACCATTCCATGACTGTAAATACATATTAACTGCAACATTCTTAAACATTTCAAGGAAAAATGAAATCAATTAAGTCAGTAACAAAGGATGATAACACGCCATTATATTGATTTCATTTAACAGATTATTATAATGATTTTCATTACGGTCATTCATAGAATCACTAGTCTCCTCTGACAACAAATGGAATATTCGTTGATCAAAGACAATAAGTAAGTAACATAAACAATAAAACGTATTCATTTAGGAATCTGCTTACCACAACAGGCAAAGCTAACGTCGTAGCTCCCAGATATTTCCATGACATATCCTGCAAACGATTTGAAATATTAATAAAGAGTGAGTTTGTATTTTGCACTATCCATGTAAGATCACTGCAAAGGACACCAAATATGAACTTCATACAAATTATGGTAATCGAACTCGATTCTTCGGCGTGACGAGCGAAGTTCAACGTTTTCACCACATGGCTAAACAAACCTTCCTATAAAGGATGACACATGCTATTACAATAGTTTAGTGCATTAAGTGGAGGAACACTGCGTACATGTGGTCATGTATAATTACTTCACAGACGTGCTGTCGACAACATGTGCACTCAGTGATATCTTCACACAACATGCCTCTAGTACCGACAGACGGACGTTAATCTGTACTTCAGACCAAGGCCCAAACAATTATAAAGGTGATACTTATGTACATGATGAACAATGGCTGGACATTATGCTGATTCATTACGTATTTATAAATATGGTCTCTTGATATCAATCTTGAGAAAGTTTCAAGTGTGTCTCTTCTCACGTGGCAATATCTATAACATGTATATCATGTAGTTCAATATTATAGACGCCCCTTGCATGGTAGATTAAAAACAAAGGTTTGGCGACCACATTCAGCTGCAAATGTGAAGATGTTGTGCAGAGCAGAAGTCATTACATTCTGCTGATAAGAGAGATCTTCCCGGTTTAGTGGGTTTCAACATTAGGGAGAGATAATTGCAACAGACGCACTTGAAAGTTATGTATTTGTATTTCGTTATGTGTGTTCGGAATCAATGTCACATTCTTTAAATGTTAATATTCCTGTTAATTGAATTGTAATAGTGTGGCGGTGTTAAGCAAGCTCACTCACACACGCTTTTGTGATATAATGGGATATTGATTTAACAGCTACGTCCTGCTACAATACTTTGTGGCGTCATAATGCAAGTAATATTTTATCAGTTTAGGACATCGATGTTTATCTATAGGGTTCTATCACCTGCGACATATAGCACATGTTTACCTACCTGCAAAAGGAGGTCCGAGAAGTAATCCGAGGCCACCGATGAAATTTACCACTCCATATCCGGTCGCCAGTTGTTTGATGCCCACCAGGTCAACAATGATAGGTTTCACTAGCGCTATCGGCCCACCACTGAAGATGCCGTACAAACTACTAAACACAAACTGTCGCGTCAAGGAACTCGAGAGAAGGGGGCACAGCATTAGCAGGACACCGGCTACACCTACCATACCCGTGTGTAGCATGAAGACGCCTATTGCTGGATCGGTACCAGCAAACCCTGCCAACACCCGCGCTATTATACTAGTGATTCCTATGGCTGTGAACAACATGGCTGAATTCTGTGGGCTAGTTCCTTTAGACTCCGCAAAGTTAGTTAAATGTACATAGATGATTGATTCTCCAAATCCCCAAAATGTATAGGAAAGAACGTACAGCATAAAGCTCAAATTAAACACAAGTGACCACGTGTCTCTGACTGTTGAACGTAAACGTTGTACGTAGCTTATTCTGACTTCTGACTGCACGTCTACTTCTTGATCCACAAGATTTCGGGTGACGTCTCCCGACGTCTCCTTCGACTTTGTTCCTGTATGTTGCTCATGCGGCGAAGGTCTGAACAACATACTACACACACACGCATTAGCTCCTATTCCTCCAAGTACAAGAAACGTCCCGCTCAGTCCGAACGTGTCAAGGAGGGCTCTCGCTATAGGAGCACCCATGAGCAGCCCGGCCCCTCCTCCTGACATCTGAAGACCCGAGGCAAGGGGAAGGTATTTGTCGAAATAGTGACAAATGATCACCGCTGAGGACACGTCCATCAACGCAGATCCTATTGCTGTAACACACACACCACACGTAAACACAAATTACTATGACAACAGTGTGGGAATTGTCCGTGTGTTAATACAAGACACTTGATATGGATGTGCATCTTCTTTATTACTTCTGGGCTAATACTTGCCCGTTCATAAGGTGCCCATTTCACCTGATGAAGGGGCAAGTACTAGCCCAGAAACGTCATGTGTAAATAATAAAGAAGTTGCACATCCATATCAAGTGTCTAGTATTACCCTACCAACTTCTAAATGCCTATCCAACATCTGCCTGTGTGTTGTTTAACGTAGCACAGAGCGTTATTTCAGCTAAAAGACGGCGGTCTCTGAACAATTGTGTCTGGACTAAACGATCCAGTGATAGACATCACAAGCATCATTCCATGGAGTTGGGATGAGATGATAGGCATCAACCCTCAAGTCAGAGTCCCTCACTACCCAATCCCGTTAGAAACCAATCAAAGGAGAAAGTGATGAAAAAATGGAATACAAACAATGATATCAGAAAGTACTTATGTTCATCCCTTTGGTAAGAAATGGCCACGTCAAAAAGAAATCATATGTGCACCTGTGAATTGTTTAAGCAATGCCAAATCGATATAAATCGTAAGTATATGTGACGCAAAACCCATTTTGATTCAATTAGGAAACGCTTTGATGTAGTGAAGATCCGGGTTAGAATTGGTCCTCAGAAACCCATGCTTGTCGTAAGAGGTGAGTAACGGGATCGCGGACTTGGTTGACACAAGGCATCGTATTCCAATAGTGTTAATCGATACTCATGACGTTAATCACTGGATTGTCTGGTCCAGACTCGATCATCGACAGACCGCCACCATATAGCTGGAATATTACTGAGTGTTGACTTCAACAACACACCAACCAACCAATTGAATAAATTTTACGAATCATAATTTAGCATTGACATTATGAAATATTAACATACGGTTTACCCAAATATTTCAACAAGTGACATTTTACCTGCAAACAGTCCATAAGACACAATCACCCCGTTTACCGACTTGGCGAAGAAAGCAGCCATCATGCCCACCAGAGTCAGAAGGCCCCCAACAATTCCCGCAATGCGGCACCCTAAGACATTCGTAAAACAGCTGGTCAGGGGGGCTGAAAGACAGTGGGGAAATAATAATAACGCTCACCTTAAATGATGATGTTACATCTTCACGTGAAACAAACCAGCAATAATAACAAAACTACTACCACTATTTGTTTGTTTAGTTGGGTTGTTTTGTTTAACGGCACTTATGGGTATGATTTTTAGAACTATATATGTTATTTGCAAGAAGGACTGATTGACTGAGTTTGGTTTTACGCCGCTTTTAGCAATATTCCAGCAACTTCACGGCGGGGGGGACACCATAAATGGGCTTCACACATTGTACCCATGTGGGGATTCGAACCCGGGTCTTGGCGTGACGAGCGAACGCTTTAACCACTAGGTTACCTCACCGCCCCTGCAAGGAAGAAACGAAACATTACAGAGACTACCTGTTACCACATTCATGGAAAATCACCTTCCATCGTTGGAAACGAACATCGAGATTGTATTATATCATAATAGTTTTCCAATTCACAGTTGGATTGACATTTTGCAATGTCCTCGCTGCAAGAAGTTGGACAACTTGAAACTTAATAGTTTCGACTGTATTTTCTACAATGAAGGTACAAGAATAGATGAACTCAGCGTGAAACAGATACGTGTCAGCGTAGAGCACCATTGCGGTAGTATTGGTTTACTGACCTGTAAACATATACGTCCCATACAAGGTGGACCCCACCCACGATGTCTTGAAAACGCCTTCCTTCATCGTCTCCAGTAGGCCTATGGTGACCACGGCTGGTGAATAGTAAACGATGCTACAGATGACCAGTTGTAGCCAACTGCTGACCAGGACCACCCACGCATACCCTCTGTCCGTGTTCTTGTGTAGGGCCATTCCAGCAACACCAGTTAGTGGCACACCTACAAACCACATCGATCAAAATGCCACGCCTGTACATAATTGCGTTTTTCTGCGATGTATATTGATTATTGAGCTGTACCAGTATGTATTGCCCAGGGTACACGCAACTAGTTGACATCATTTTGAGTTACTGACATGAGATATGTATTTATATTGTTTTGGGTAAGACGTCTAAAGCAAAGTGATATTTTTTGTCACTTCAAACGGAACATGACTCCGTCCATTGGTTACGACTTAACAACAATAGTAAGATTTTAGCCGCTTTTAGCAATATTTCAACACTATCACGCAGTGGAAATAACAAATGGGCATCACACGCTGTACCCATGTGGAGAATCGAACGGAGGCCCGCTGGTTGACGTCCGAACGCCTCCGCCCCTGGGATGCCGAGTTGTTTTTCTGACACGTTTATGTATTTTTTTTTATTAAGTTACACGCGGATAAACACATGCGAACGCTAATTTCAAATCATAGTACCATTCTACCATGACAACTTAATGAACAATTTCAGCTGGAACTCTTTCTTTGGTTACACGCAAATACGTGATGCGGCCTCGCATTCCAACCCCAGGAGGTATCGCCCCACATGTGGTGATGGGTGGTAAAACCGTCAGTGACAAACAAACATAGGGTCAGTAATAACGCATAACTTTGTGTCTTTTCACTGCATTGATCACCCAATAATAACTGATAAATTCAAATTTGTATATTGAATAATCTAAAACACCTTTGTTCACATTTTGAAATCTCTCCCTTGACCATTACCCACCCGAAAAATGGCAGCGACCTGATGACCGTGACCTATTCACGGAAGTATTTGAGGACCGTGACGTTGCAAGTGGTAATTTGAAAAGATGCATCAACAGAGCTCCCCACAGGTTGCGCCAGGTAAGTATGGTTGTATGACTGAGATACATTTGTGCATATTTTCTGACTGGGACCTTGCAAAATTTAATAGTTTGGCGCTTTTGGTGTGATGAGGAGTCCGTTTTGTACGAATCTCGAGACTGTTGATTACTGTGACCTGTCAAGTTTAAGATTCACGCGCCACTACGTCAGCGTGCGACTGAAGGGTCACTGTGATTTGTGTCCTTTGTGCTCAAATTCTGTGGATATGTTTCATCTTTGTAAGTGTGTTATGGCATCAAGGTGTACCAAATTGACTCGCATTTTCTGGCATATTTGCGTGGCCGCCAGAAACCAGTGCGCTAGATGAGTTGATTTTTACAGGCATCCAAATCTTAGTCAGTGATTGTGTGTAGAAACAGATTACATTTGTCGTAAATTGCAAAAACTGAACAAAACAAGTTGCAAACTGCACATAACAAAAAATGAACAGATGAAGATATATATCAATTACATCTCTTTTGCAGAACAGATAATGCAGTCTTGCGTAAACATATAACAATACGACTATTTACCCCCAAACACGTACATGGATTTATTGTGGGCAAGCTGCGCGTTCGTCACTAACGCTTTACGATTCACTCATTTAGTTTTCTATAATAGGATCAGTCCATATTTGAAAAAAACATAAAAAATGTGGGTGACAGGATATCAAACTATATTTCTACAATAATTACAATATATATCAGCTATAAACTTTCGGACGAACCTAACACGTTTATTATAGGATATTCTTACACACGCACGCAACTAGTACATGTTCAAGGCGCTGGAGTGTTCCTTTGATCAACGAGTGTCTTTTTTCTGACATTCGTTTAACCAAACAGCTCTCTAGGCAGTATTCAGCCTGTTAGGCGCAGCGAGTTATTACACAGCCTCATCGCCACAAGGTACCCATTTGCAGCTGGGTGAACTGGGACACATAGCCACAGTATTTTTTTCCAATAATACTGCACGTTACTATACCCGCAACTGGGTGTATGCACGTGTTCGTCTGTCCACCATATGGTCACCAACCATCGGATGAGTGGGTTGTTTTTAAGTGCACAGGCTTGTGCACTGCACACTGAAAAGGCCTGCAAGTAATGTTAGCTCCAAGGTTTTTACACCAGGTCACAAAACTTAGTGTAAATCGACCCAGGCAACTTTCGCTTACTTAGCGCGGCGCCTTAGACAGCTCGCCCACCATGCGCTATTATTCTGATTGGTCGATACAAAAGAAGCTGTGTTTTTCACCTTTCATTCTATACTTATTAATATAAATAGCCACGTAATCTTGAACAAATAGAAGTCCTATAAAAAAACGATATCCGTAAGTTTTAAACTAGTGTTTTTCTTCACGTTACATTGATGCCAAACAGGTGCGCCTGTTGTCCATACAACAATGCATGGTCACACGTGGTCATACAGTCTAATTGTGTATGTATATAGGATATTATGTAAATGGTTAAATCAGTCAGTTTAAATTCTGTCAAAAAAATCGAGACCTTTTATGCAAGTAATACATGCTAATCAACATACCAATGTTGTCCTTCTTCGATGTTGCAAACCACGTAGAACACGTATACCAATATAGAAGTATTGTATCACTTAGGGACAGCACTTCTTAGATTCTGATATTAACATAACAGGGACACTCCAATAGATAAGGTTCAACTGTTTCAGGCGTCTTATCACTGCACTTGTCACAAAGAGGTGACACTTCTTTATCAACAACACTTGTGTAGGCAGTTAGTGCACAGTGAGCAGGACGAAGTCAGGTCAAAATAACTTCGACAGGTCTCTTACGATGGCGAAAATGACACATATATGTCACTGGATGACAGAGTCGGAACATATGTCCTCCAGTACATCCAACATACCACAAGCTTTGTCATTTCACAGAGACCGTCTTCAAGAAGCCACATTCAAAATCCCCCTGGCGAAGCCTGAAATAAAATTTTATGAACATCGTCTTTTTTTGTAATCATGACCTAGAAAGATTACTTGCTGATTCATGACCCTTCAATCTAACATTAGCTGGAACCTATACAACATCACATGATCATTTCTGGACTCGGTATATGGGCATTCAACGAGGAACTTCAAGGAACTGAATTACAATGGATTAATTGGTGAATGTCCAGAAAGTGCCCGGAACATCGACTAGGTTTGTAAGCGTAAAATGACACCTACAAACACCCTATGCTTTCTGTTCCGCCTTTTACACATATTAATAACTAATCAGATGGCGTTGGGTCTCTGACACACGTAATCTCCAACGCTTACCTTAGGAAGCACTGCAGTTTGGCTGCTGTGGCATGTCTAAACTAACGATTAAGGTGCGTTGTAGTAAGAACTTGTAGCATACGACATGCAATAACAATAAAGATCGTAACGACTTTCTTACTTGACTTTGTAAGTCGCATACAACTCGTATCTCGCAAGATTCTCGCATTTGACTCTCCAGTGGCAGTGCATCTGATCAGCGATTGTTGAGAGCGTGGATAGTCTGTTGTCCCGGTAGGAATAGGAGGAATGTTGAACATTCTAAAATCATTCCTGTGACAAGCAAACCCCTGTTAATCGATCTGTTTGTTCTGTGATAAGGGGCACTCGTGAATGAAGAGCGATCTCCTCGTGGTGAGTGTTGGGTAACTCTAATAGCTCAACCCCCGTGAGGACCCGGGGTAGAACGTGTCCACAGCACAAGCCCCCTCACCCCCAACCCACACACACGTGTGAAGCGAACACATTTCTGTTTGCCGATGGTTGCTACCCTGTGTGGAGGGTGGGGTTCTGGTAGTTGAGGGCAATAGGAGCCAGGGTGCCGTTTCACGAAAGCCTCTTAGCGCTGGGACGTCCTAAACCACGTCGTAAAGCAGCTCTTAATTTTCTGTGCCGTTCCACAGAGACCTCCTAACTTTACACCACATCATAAACAACCTCCTAGCATACGATAAGTAAGGGGCACGTGTAACTAACTTACTATGCGTAAGGCAGTTCCGGATCACTAACGAAACAACGACTGCATGAGCCTACGCGAAAAGATGTCTTAATCGCCTAAGGGCAATTGCGGTCGTAGCAATGTTTCATGTTACTCACACCATAATATGAAATCGATACAATCCTGACTTATTATAGAAAACTGGCGAAGAAACGCTGTGCCATTACGGCAGTTGTGAATCATTTCAGGGTATTCCGGATCACGTGACAAAACGAGGCAGTGTTTGGTTATTGCTGCACGTTTGGGGCAACAAGGGTCTGTGTCAAACAGTAACGCGTGTTTAATTGAACAGATGCTTGAACAATATTTATAATGGTGTCTCATTTACGGATAACAAACATTTCAGCTGATAACAGCATCTGCTAGGTAGATAGTTTTAACACTTACTGCTCATTACAACACACACATATTCCAGTATCAGGATTCCAGGTAACAACGTGAGCTGAAAAATATTCTCTTGGGGTTTATACATACGTGGTAATGATCTCTTCTATATCGAAATTCAGTCATATTCAGAAGTTAATCATACTACGGGGTCGTGCTGTTTGTGGCTGATGAATTAGGTGAAATTCACTAGACGCTGATCTGTTGTGAATCTAATGTACTATTTTAATACTTTGACGTGACTTTGACATGCGATTTAACTTGTAAATTACAACTATCAACACAAAATAATCCATTTTTTCACAAACTTTAACGCTTTTATTCAGTCAATATGAGACATTTATCATCATCAGTCACTGAAAATATAGCTAACGAAACTAATAAATTAATACTAATATATTTGAACTCTTTATGTGTGTGTATCTTTTATGTCCAAAAAAGAAACAAACTAGTGTCTTTTTCAGCCTCATTGATTCCACCTCTGGCATAAGTAACAGGGCATTATTTATTGTCATAAAAGCCCAGTCTCTGTGCCGTGGTTAATCAGTAATGACAAGGTAGACCACGCCACCTCCTTTCTCTGCTGGTGCAGGCCAAGGGGGCAATCTTGGAACAGGTTCTCCAGCTGGCTCAGCGAACACAATGCCACCCACATCAAGGATTTGCCTGAATGACCCTGCAAGACCTCTTGGCACAT